ATTTGCCAATTTTTCAGAGCAGCCGCCACCGAACTCGGCGTGTGCATCGACGGCGACGTGCACAAAATTGGACGCGGGTGGACGAGCAAGAATTTCAAGTACGTTACGCTCCGGTTTACGGTGACAGTGTCACAATTTAGGGAGTTGATCTGGCGGATGTACCGCACCCGAAAGGCTCGAGGGGTCGTCTTTTTTGTCGATGAGGACAATTTGAAGGTGGGAAATATCCATATATTTAAGCAAATTACACCAATTCTTGGATCCCGTGCTCTTCGAGGAATTTCCTGAAAAAATGGAAAATCAAAAAATTTGGTTTTCGCGTACCAATTTTTACGTGAAATCGCGTAGTGTAGCGTGGGTCTGGGGAATCCGTTGAACGTCGTGCATAGGCCATTGGTGTAGGCGCCCATATCGGGGTACAGTACCCAGTCACCCTCCGCCATTCGCTCTTTTTCGATGGCTTCCTGGAAATGGGGGGTTTTAAAGGGATTCAGTAGGGAAAATCCTCGAATAGCGCTGCTAGCCTACCTTGCTACCCTATGGAATGCTTAAATGCTAGCTACTCTGCAGAATTCCCAAATGATCGCTGCTGGTCTGCCCCGAAATATTCACTAATGATCAGTGCTAGCTTGCCTTTGACAAATTCCCAAATAGTCACTGCTAGACTCCCCTGGCAAAATTGCCAAATGATCACTGCTAGCTAGCCCCGCTGAATTCCCAAATGATCCACGGGCTCACCCTGATGATTTCGCCAAAAACCCAGACCCGCCGCTATCTAGCCATTCCGATTTTTTGCAAAAAACCACTGCATCTTGCTGTGTCAAAATTCCCTTGGAATCACTGCTTGCCTGCCCTACTTTACAACCATTTTTGCCGATTTTTACCTCAACAACATCAACACTAGCGCACGTCGGTCCCCACACAATCGACGTTAGCCTCTCAGCACCAGGCTTCGGCTTGAGTTATTCAAATTTTTAATAAGTTCCACAACAATACCCTCAACGGCAATCCCTCGACGTAGATCTTCTCGGTTGCCGCCAGCATAAAGGACCCGTAGATTCCATCGTTTAGGAAATACATCATTCCTTTTTGGTTTGAATCTAGCTCTAAATTAAGAAGAGTTACCAAAGCTTCAGCCCAAGTCTAAGTCTAATCTAAGCCTAACAAGGGGATGGTCTCAGCTCGGAATCGAATTCGGATTTGAAAATTTGCACACTTATAGAGCTCGACGAGACAAATCGATTGGTGTAACTTTCAGCAGCAGATACCCCGAACTAACAAAGTTATAAGCATTTTTAGTTTTTGCATACATTTTGCGAGTTTTTTCGCCATACCTTCATAAGCCCTCCCCCTTCCCCCATCAGCGTCGTCTGGTGGTCTAGTGGTGTGGTACGCGGCGTCTGGGGAATCTATCAAGGGTTCAAACCCGCTCACGATTTTTATTTTTGCTTTTTTGGTCCAGAGATTCCTCTTGGCATTCCAAAGACCTTTAATGGCTTTTTAGGCATTCACCAGGAACCAGGAAGCGCTTGCAGCAAAAAATCCCACTCCTAAAAATTTTTGGAAATTTTGAGAGTTGGCAAGGTAACCATAGTAGGATCAGTTCAAAGAAAATAATTTTGATCATTTTCATGCAGCTTGGGATACGATAAAGCGTTGATAAGCAGATTGCCAGCCTTCTGAAAATTTCCCCAAAATTTTTTGAGGAGGCATGAGCACAGGCAAAAAATTTTAAATTTTTCGCAAAGCTGCTTTATTGTTGGCAACGCTTCCTGGTTCCTGGTGAATGCCTAAAAAGCCATTAAAGGTCTTTGGAATGCCAAGAGGAATCTCTGGACCAAAAAGCAAAAAATAAAAATCGTGAGCGGGCTCGAACCCTTGATAGATTCCGCAGACGCCGCGTACCACGCCACTAGACCACCAGACGACGCTGATGGGGGAAGGGGGAGGGCTTATGAAGGTATGGCGAACAACCTGCAAAATGTATGCAAAAACTAAAAATGCTTATAACTTTGTTAGTTCGGGGTATCTGCTGCTGAAAGTTACACCAATCGATTTGTCTCGTCGAGCTCTATAAGTGTGCAAATTTTCAAATCCGAATTCGATTCCGAGCTGAGACCATCCCCTTGTAAGCATAAGCTAGAGCTTTCCTACCATTTTTCGTGATCCGATCCGCCGGCACCTCGACAGCATTGATGATTTTTGTGCATAGGGTGAAGGAGCCTTCGCAGAAAAATCTGAAAACCAATTTTAATGGCACAATCTCTCTCTATTTATCTCTATCTCTCTCTCTCTCTCTCTCTCTCTCTCTCTCGTTCTCTCCTGCAAGTAAAACTTACTGCCCGGGCTCAGAGATCATCTCCACACCCTCGACGTCGCCAAAATGAGTATCAATAGCTGCATTGATGACGGCGGCGATCTGAAAGATAATCAGATATCGAGGGCGAGAGAGAGAGAGCGCGAGAGAGAGAGTCTCCAGATCCTATACCTTCTCAAACTGCGGGTTATCCACCTCGCGGCCCGGATATCCGCCTCCAATGTCCAAAATTCGCATCCGGTGCCCCAATCGGGTACCGTAATCGAACAGTTGTCGCGCGTAGCGGATGGCCGTCTCGTAGATTGGCGCGTCTTTGCACCCAACTCCCACGTGGAAACTAGAAACCATACAGTGTGTGTCAAAACTATAGAGCCACCTCTTTGAACGCTATTATCTCGGCTCTCGTTGAGTTTGACGCCAAGCTAACTAGCAGGTCTTATAGCGCTCGAAAAGGCGCATTTTTCCATCTACTTGAATTTTTATCAAAAATAGCGCACGCGATTTTTTAAGGCAAAGAACAAATAGAGCCAAAAAACCGAAGTGTCAAAACGATAGAGCCACACTTTACATATCATTAGCATCAAGTTTAAGCTTGCAAATTACATGCTAATTGCTAATACGAAGTTCAAATCTATGCAGATTGACATCACCCTGAAAAATCCGGAAGCCAGAAATGGAAAGCTACTTTGAATATTCATTAGAATGTAATTTGCAAGCTTAAACTTGATGCTAATGATATGTAAAGTGTGGCTCTATCGTTTTGACACTTCGGTTTTTTGGCTCTATTTGTTCTTTGCCTTATAAAAATCGCGTGCGCTATTTTTGAAAAAATTCAAGTCGATGGAAAAATGCGCCTTTTCGAGCGCTATAAGACCTGCTAGTTAGCTTGGCGTCAAACTCAACGAGAGCCGAGATAATAGCGTTCAAAGAGGTGGCTCTATCGTTTTGACACACACTGTAGCTTATCACCATATTTTCAAGCATGCGGTTTTTAAAAATCCGCTTACCTAATTCCAACAACTTTCATTCCAATCTCCTTGGCCTCCTCTAGCAATTCCCGGGCCACCGTCTCGGGCTCGGCCCCGAATTTCCGGCCAAAAACCGAGCTGGCTGTAGGGTCGGAAACCAGAATTCGAAGGACCAGCCTAAAAGGGACCGGATTCCTCAAAAAATTTGCTCGACTCCGCAGCACGCAGCGCGTATTCCCTGCATGGGCGCTGCGCGTTGCGTGTCGCGGTTTTGGCCAAGTCCATAAAGCTCCCCTAGCCATGAAAAAATCCATAGCCATGGACTTGTCTATCCGTTTAAAAGACGCTCTTTGTCTCTTACTTTGCCTCCTCGAATTCCTCCTTGATTTTGCGCAACTCTTCCGCCGAATCGAAAGTCATCTTGTGGACGCGCTTCGTTTTAGCATACTGTAAATCGTCAATTTGTTTATGTGATTTGAATTTTTTGAAAAAATCAACAATTTTTGGCTTCCAGGTTCCTTTAAAAGCTCAACAATTTTTTTAAAACAAACCTGGATAAATGTGCGGTGTTTGCTCGGATTTGCATAAATTATACGAGCCGGCTCTACCTGCAAGTCCAAGATCTAAAAAACGGCTTAGCTAGATTTTTCAAAAAATTCCGACCGTCTGTATTTCCCTGAGACTGGCACAATCGAATCCACAGCCCAGGCTGGCCAGCGCGCGAATAACCATCGGATCCGGGTGGCATTTGACGGCGAAAAAAGGCTAAAGGGTTTGGGTTTTATAAAACGACCCGGATTACCGTAATCCTCGGCATTTTTGCCTGCCACAGTTTGAGGCGATGGATGACGTTGTCGACGCTGCAGAGTAGTGCACCCTCGTCCGACATCTATGAGAGAAAAATTTGCATAAAATCTGAAGAAGTAAAAGGCAGCATACTGTAGCCACAGTATTAAACCATAGTAGAATTGTAATAAATAGAAAATTGTTAATTAGCAATATGCAAAACTTTATCTTAATTTTAAAGAATTTTGGACTGCTGAAAAATGGTCGCTTTTTCCGTAGAGATACGGTATCAAAAGACGGGAAATTTGTATATGGGGAAGTTTTAGATATTTTCCTTTTTTTTGCTAATTGTTCTAAAAGAGAAAATTTTGATTTTGGCATCTAACCAAAGCTAAAAATACGTAATATTTGCCTTCTTAGTTCCTCCAAAAAATTGCGGCAATCTAACCAAAGCTAAATTATAGCTACCGTACCTCTGCGTCAAGCTCATCTGCAATTTGTTCTACTACCGTCCTTTGATCCATAATTTGATCGTAAAGGCGAATCTAGAAATAGAGGGTTTAAAATTCGTCAACCCCGGTAAGTACCGTAACGCTTAAAACTCACTTTCCATTGCCCGAATTTTAGAATTTCCTGTGCCATTTATTCGTTCGTAGGCTAGGGGCAGGATTTTGGGGTACTAGCGCCAAAAATGATTCACCCCAGTAGGCCAGCCAGGGGAGTGATAAGCCGACACAAAGCCTTTGTATGTATTCGAGGCGGAGGGGGTGTTCGGGGGCTTAAAAATGGAACGTGAGGGGGAGGGAAAAATGGTTAGGCTTAGGCTTAGGCTTAGGCTTAGGCTTAGGCTTAGGCTTAGGCTTAATCAACGTGACAACACAAAACAATGTGAATTCCAGAAACTGCTGAAAAATCTCGACTACATGATCATGATCGAGGGACATCGAGAGTTGGACAAGTATTTTTGGTAGGTGAGAGAGAGAGAGAGGGAGCGAGAGAGAGAGAGTTAGCTAGACAGAGAGGGAGAGTGACAGATAGAGAGTGAGAGAGATAGAACGATAGTCCGAGAGAGAGAAAGATAGTGAGAGCGAAAGGGAGAGCGAGGGAGAGAGCGAGAAATCGAGAAAAACGGCTAAAAACTACAGAACATTCCAATTTCCAGGTTCGTCGCTTCCGATTCATGGGGCGTGAAAAGCTCGGTGGTGCAGGGGATGGCGCATCGGACGGCCGGGTCGCTAACTATCGCCCCGCATGTACGGAATGTAACTGGTAAGCTATCTCTCTCTCTCTCTCTCTCTTTCTCTCTCTCTCTCTCGCTCTATCCTCTCTCCCATCTGCTATCCTAGCTATCCACTCCATTTTCAGGCTTCAACGAGTACTTCCTCCGCGCCGGACCCTCTAACACGTTCCTGGAGGAATATTGGCGTCATCTGAACTGCACCGAGTTCCCGTCCGTCCAGAACTTTGGCCAATGCTTTGCCGCCATCAACATGACCTTCAAGCAGGAGGCTTTCGTCCCCTTTGTCGTGGATGCGGTCAAGACTGTCGCACATGCCATCAATACGTACATTAAGGTCGGTTTGGAAGTAATTCGGGTGTATTTAGAAGTCAGCCATTTCATTGCGTAATCGATTACGCGAGAGAAAATTACCTTGAAATGCTAATGATTCCAGAAAAGTTGCGATCTGGTTGCGTTTCACAAATGTTCGTTATCCACTAGCGGATTTAATGGAACCGAGCTGCAACGACATTACCGGAACATCAGCTTTACGCGTGGGTCTCACTCTCTCAAACTGCTCTCTCTCTCTCTCTCTCTCTCTCTCTCTCTCTCTCTCTCTCTCTCTCTCTCTCTCTCTCTCTCTCTCCCCCTTCCCCCCCCCTCCCTCACTCCCCCTTCTCTCTCTCTCTCTCCTAACTACAGCTTTTTTAGCCTTCGAACCAGCCATCATCGACGAGAAGGGCGACGGAATTGGACGCTATGATATCTTTCAAGTCGACGAGTTCGGAGCGTACGTGAAGGTGAGAGAAAGAGAGAGAGAGAGGGAGAGAGAGAGAGAGAGGGAGAGAGACCAAATCTACCTTCCCAGGTCGGCAAATGGCGATCAACCGAAGGGCTTCGCGTAGAGGTGGAGAAGATCCGCACCGGCTTCCGCAGCGATGTCCTCCCGATCTCTGTCTGTTCCCAGGATTGTGGCCGGGGTCAATACCGCGTCTACCAAGATCAGACATGCTGTTGGGCATGTGTCCCCTGCGATCCGACCACGTCTATTGTCATCAATGTCACGATGTAAGTCACGAAGCTTGTTAGGCTTGGGCTTGGGCTTGGGCTTAGGCTTAGCTAAGGCTTAGGCTTAGGTCTACCCCCTCGCGAAGGATCAGGATATCAGTATCCAATGCCTTTTATAGCATTTGGAAGCTTTGGAAAAGGCAGATCAAACGGTTGGTTTAGATTTGTAGATTTTTGATGTTTTTACCACATTTTTAAATATTTCAAAAACACCTATTTAAATTGCTAACATTTTACAAAATAAACTCACTGTTTTGCTCGCATTTGCAAAACCTTTGAAATGGTATAAAAGTCATGTCAATCCGATGCATTCTTACGTCACGAGTGGAGGTGGCTTTGGCTTTGGCATAGGCTCAGACGGCCCAAAATTCTGGATCCAATTCACCTGTACATTCGCGTTTTCAATTTCCCCATATTCAGTTTCAATTCGACGGGTTTCAGCTGTACGGAATGTCCGCTTGGCCAGGTGCCAAATCAGCAGCTAACAGCCTGCCGGCCCATCCCACCAGTTTCTCTAAAATGGGACTCGCTCTGGGCCATTCTACCGGCTGCATTCGGGGCTCTCGGGCTGACTGCGACGATTTTTGTCGTTTCGGTGTTTTTGAAGTTCAGCAATACACCTGTGGTGAGTGAGAGATAAAGAGAGAGCGAGAGAACGGCAGAGAGTCAGAGAGAGCGAGAAAGAGAGAGAGAGAGAGAGAGAGAGAGAGAGAGAGAGAGAATGAGAGAGAGAGAGAGAGAATGAGAGAGAGCATGCGAGCGTCATCTAGATAAAGAGATAGCGATAGAGTGTGAGAGTGAGAGAGAGAGCGAGAGAGAGAGAGAGAGAGAAGGAAAGGGAAAGCGAGAGCGAGAGAGTAAGAGAAAGAGAGCGAGCTAGACAGATCTTCGCCTAATACCCCATTTTTTTGCAGATTATGGCCTCCGGAAGAGAGTTGTGCTACTGTATGCTGACGGGAATCGGTCTGTGCTATATCCTGACCTTCTTCCTCGTCTCCCAGGTAGTTCTAGAAGTTCACGGCCCACCTAGCATTTTTAGCCGTCGGCGGCGGCATGTGCCACTTCACGGGTGTTGATCGGGCTTTCAATGTCTGCCATCTACGCCGCCATCATCACCAAGACGAATCGATTGACCAGGGTATTTTCGCCCGCATCGGCACAACGACCACGGTTCATCACTCCAAAGGCACAGGTGGGTGAGGCTTAGGCTCAGGTTTAAGCTTAGGCTTAGGCGTAGGCTTAGGCTTAGGTCAGGCGTAGGCTTAGGCTTAGAACGCAACGACCGATCACCAGGGCTGAAATAAATGATGATAACAGGTTGGCATCTGCCTATGCATCGTCTCGGTGCAGCTGGTCGGCTCTCTGATTTGGCTCATAATGGATCCACCGGGGACGACAATTATTTATCCATCGCGGACGGAGGCTGTACTCACTTGCAAGGTATTTTGAAAAAAAGAGAGAGAGAGGGAGAGAGCCGAGAGGGAGAGACAGACAGAGTGAGAGAGAGAGAGCGAGAGAGAGAGAGAAAGAGAGCGAGGGAGAAAAACAGAGAGATAATTCCCGTCCCCCTTCAGGCAACCGCTACCCATCTCCTGGTTTCCCTCGCCTACAACCTCCTCCTCATCGTTGCGTGCACCATCTACGCCTTCAAGGCTCGCAAAATCCCGGAGAACTTCAACGAGACCCGCCTCATCGGCTTCACCATGTACAGCACCAGCATTTTGTGGCTGTCCTTTGGTAGGAACTGGACGGATTTTTTAGACAAAATTTGCATTTTTAGCGCCCATCTACTTTGCGACGCAGAACAACTTTCGGGTGGGTTCTTGCGCGAGGTTTTCAAGCTGGTTTTTGCAGATTCAAATCACGTCGCTTTGTATGTGCATATCGATGTCGGGCACCGTCGCGTTGGCCTGCTTTTTTGCGCCCAAGGTATGGAAGGTTAAGAAGTAGAGATAGAGAGACAGAGGGACACAGAGAGAGAGAGAGAGAGAGAGAGAGAGAGAAGATAGAGAGAGCGTGGCATTGCTATTCCACTGTCGTCCATAGGTGTACATCGTCCTCTTCCAACCCTACAAAAATGTGCGCACACGGCATTCGGCCGTCGGACGACTCGTCAACCAACAAATGCGATTTATTAGGTACAAAAAACTTCTAGACGACTTGAGAAAATGTTTACCATTTTTGAAATACCTAAAATAAGTTCGGCTTGAAAATGTTTATTTTTCGATTTATAAAAATTCAAAAACAAGCCAAATTGAAAAGTTTGTCATTTTTAGACAAGTTTTCGCAAACTAGATCTTGCTTTTTATGCAGGAAATCTATAAATTTTGGAAATTCTAAATTTTTCAAAATTTCAAAATTTTTCCGAATTTAATTTTCTTAATTTAATGTGCTTAAAATCTTTGAAGATATTGCTTGTTTTAAAATCTAATTCCTCGATTTAAAGCAGCCCAAAGCCAGCCCGCGAAAAGCGGGCCCATTTCGGTGCGTGCCCCAAATGACCCAAATTTTTGAGAAAATTTTGTTTTCTTGAATTTTTTTAAGTAATTTTTGAATGTGGCTGAACATTTCAATGTTCTTTGAACGTCTTGAATGCGTCCCTGATTGCAGCCAAATGACGACGCACGTGCAGGATGGGAAACCCGTACCCTCGAATGCATCATCCAAAGCCCCAATCACCCTCTCCACCTCGTATCGGCCACCCGATTGTAAGCATGCTGATCAGCATTTTTTTGCTTTTTACATTGAAATATTAAAAAGAAACGTTGTCGAGCGAAAAGCAAAAAGTTGGACGCTGGGTGGGGTCGAACCCGTGGCATCAGCCTGGTAGGCGAGAGCCTAACCAATCGGCCATAAGTCATCGGGTTAAAAAGGACGGACTTTTCTGGTGTAATTGTCATTTTTGTCTACGAGACAGAGAAGCTTCCGGATTGATTTTTGAGACGCTAAATTCAAATTTTGTCGAAAATTGATGGTCTTCATTTTGTGAAATAATAATATCGAAATTGCTTAAAGGCTACATTGTAAGAATGGCGACATCTTCAAGCAGTCCGAATTTCATACTGTCGAAATCTAAGAATGTCGAAAATTCAAATTTTTTAAATTTCATAACGTCGAAATTTCAGTTTCCTAATTCCAGATGTCAGAATTTAAATGTGTCGACATTCTAAAATGCCGAAATTTCATGATACCGAAATTCATTTGTAGGAATTTGAAAAAATTCCGACATTTTCAAAATATAATTTCGACAAAGTGAAGTTTCCATAAACTTACATTTCGACAGAAATTCACTTTTTGCATGCACTTTGCTCATCTCCTAGCACGATCCCTTTAATATCCGGAATTCAGACGAGATTGAACCAATTTTTACAGCTGAAGAGAGCTCCTCACACAGCCTGTTACGCTCTCAGCATTTGCGAGCTTCCTCAGTAGAAGGGCTCCACAAGCGGCGCACCATTTCAGCGTCAGGTACGGTAACTGAGGGCCGTGTGATATTTTCCATACCCTACCGTATGTTACCGTAACCTACCCCGTTTTTAGGCCACCATCCAACAGCCGACGAACTGCGAAAAGCCAACGGGGGTGAGCGGCGCTTCAGCAAGTCGGTGCGCGTCACCAAGGAGGGCATGGAACGGTTGCGGCAGAGCATGAGATTTGGGTGAGTTTCAAGGAATTTATTTTGGAAGAGGTTGGCCAAGTTCGCGCATTAATGGTAGTCAAGAAAGGCACTAGGAGAAGAACACAAGTTCGAGCAGTACAGCGTTGCTTAAAATTGGCCCTAAACTCAAAAATACGACTTAATTAAGCTTTTCTTAGCCCGAGGCTGAAGCTCAAGCATATACCTTTTCGAAGTCCAGCAACTCCAAGCAGTTCATCTTTACCTAAAAATTTTGCTGACAGGCTATTAGGCCGCAACAAAAATTTCTGGTTCTATTTCATTAGCGGGGGGTGTATCGAGCAGTAGGGCGACGCCGTCCCCCCCCGCTAACGCACAAAATCCAAATGTGACGAGTTTGGCACCACGAGTTCACGCAGTTCAGCCCCGTTTATATTTTATCCATTTCAGAAAAAAGAAGGAGCCAAAGCAGCCCGTCAAAGAAGAAAAGGACCCACTCCCAAACACGAAGGTATGCTAAATTTACAAAATCAAGTCGACCCTCATAAAGCTCTCCCAGACCTCACTTTGAGCCCGAACGGGTAAGGAAAAATGGAAAACACTCAAAATTAGAATCCCCCTCAGTGTGTGCACGCCTAGAAAAGGGTTGCTTTCCCTGCCTCCATGCCTTCCCGGTCCCTTTAAACTACAAAATCCCAAAATTTACGGTGATTTTAGGTTCCGCCAGCCATGGCCGGGTCAAAGTCTTTCACAAGTCGCGCCGAGCTGCGCGGCCCCTCGCCCTTGACGCAGAAGCGGGTGGGTTATTGTTTTTGCGTTTTTTGATAATTTTGGCAGAATTAATATAATTTTTCAGTCCCTACAGGAATGCCGAGCGGGTCCGGCCCCTTCCGAAGACTCGGTGGGTGAACGAGTAACGTCATCTCGTGAGATCACCTCATCCCCCTCATCGCAGCTCGAGCTACTCCTCGAGGAAATTGCAGCCAGCACCCATTCCACATTTTTGTAGTTTGTATTGGGAATAGCGGAATGCCGACAGCAGAAATGCCGACACTCTCAAAATCGCTAAAAGCAAAATCCCGACAGCTAAAAGTTAGGCAGCCAAAATCCCGATGGCTAAATTGACATCGAAAATCCCGAAGCGACAAATTTTGGTCGCCAAAATACCGATATAAAATACCGACAAGAGAAAATCCCGAAAAACCACACTTTCGAAAAAATTCGGCATTTTTGCAGGTTCGGCTTTGACTGTCGGCATTTTTCCCTGTCGGTATGTACACTGTCGGCGTTTCGGCATACGGGATTCGGAATGTCGGCATTATTCCCGGAATCCGTTGGTACTCCAACTATTTTTGATTTTCTCGTTATATTTGTAATTCCCCGCAATATATACTCATCGTCTCGCCGATATCGGGTACTGTAAATGTCATTTGGTGCCCCGCGTTGTTTGTCATTATGATTTTTTTTTCTGTCCTACTTTCCTTCTTTGCTCATTAGACGAGATTTCTATATCAATTTTTTCCTTGGCAAATTTTGAAAATTCAGTTCCGAGCTTGCCCCATTGAGAACCGGTGCCGCAGTCATTAAAGGGACCGGCAAGTGGCGGGATCGGCCTGTCTAGCCCTAGTGAAAATTAGGGGTTTATTCCAGCGTTCTTAGGCTTCTGAAAGGGCCTGGAACGTGAAAAATCGACCTGTCTAGACCTAGTCGGCATAGAGGGTCGATTCACGCGCTTCACAGTCCCTTAAGGGCTTTGGGAAGCGCGATAGTCCACTTGTCTAGATCTAGGCGAAAGCAGGGGTCGATTCTCCAGTTCCAGGCCCTGTAAAGCAGCTATGAAGCGCCAGAATCCATCGGTCTAGACCTAGTCAACCTGCAGGGTTGATTCAAGTTTTTCCAACCCCTTAAAGGAGCTTGAAAGAGGAAACCAACCTTTTTGTTCGACTAAATCTTGACACAGACGGAACAACAAATTAAGCTAAATTTATCAGCCTTTTTCGTAAAAATTACATTCCTGAATAAGTTCCCCGCCTGGCATATCCGTCTAGACCTAGTCGTGATCAAGCGTCGATTTACCCCACTTCCTGGCCCCTTTAAAATGCCCATTTTTTTCTCCAAAAAGATAATCATCGCAATGAGTACGGGTCCGTCTGTTTTCTTCTCCTCGATTCGCCAGTTTTCGAAATACTTTTTTTGTATCAATTTTTGTCTCTTCATTTCCCTGGTCTCTCTACAATTTCGGTGCACTTTTGAGGTTTGACGCGTGTGTTTTCGTAATAAAATTTTCTTAATTGGTTAAACCAACATCAATAAAAACGAAAATAGCGCAGCCGTGTAATTTGCATAAAATATTAAATAGTATTTGATGATCTTAAAGGTGTTTGTAGGTCATAATTCAAAAAATGTCTAATTCTTTTTGGTTTACGTCGCTCTATGATAGTTTCAATCCTGTTAAAAAGGGTTAAATTTGATTGTTTAAAGTTGCTTCAATTTTAAGGCGGCCAAAATCGGGCATCCCCCAGAGCGTCGGGGCCAAGTATGCATTTTCAACAAAACAATGCATCCTTTTTTGGGCGGTCCAATGGGGCTGGAGGGGAGTGGAAAATTGCTTCCGTTCGTTCTCTCTCTTCTTTTTAGGGCTGCAGCTTATGCTTTTAGCGTGTGAAGAGTAGCGGTGCGGAATCGCTGGGAGACCCCCGGGGGCCATTTTATGGCCTCGTCACTTGCTTGACGATCACGATGAAGCGTGGATCTGCTACTTTTTATCGTTTGTGTTTTATTGGCTAAGCCAAGGCATACTTCTAGTCCTGAGATCAAAGCCTAATCACAAGCCAGATCCTAAGACTTAGCCTAAGCTTAAGCCTAAGCCTAGGACTAAGCTTATCCTGAGCCTAAGCCTAAATCTAAGCCCAAACCCGAGCCGAAGCCTAAGCCTAGGCCTAAGACCAAGCGAAGCCCCGAGGCCTAAGCCTAAGCGGAGCCCAAGCCTAAGCCTAAGCCGAACCCGTAGCCTAAGTCTAAGCCCAAACCTAGGCATAAGCCAAGCCTAAGCCAAACCTAATCCAAGCCTAAGCCCAAACCCAAGCCTAAACGTAAGCTCAAAACTAAGCCAAAGCGTAAGCCTAAGCCCAAAATTAACTCTAAGCCAGCTTCAATCAAGTGAAGCCTGACGTGCTGCGTCAAAAGACTCCAGAAACTAGGCATAGCTTAAAGATTCTATTCTAGTCGGTTACGGTAGCTTAATCAATTAACCAAAAACTTGTATAAAATCGGTGCATTAATAGATACCGGAAACACTTAAAGAACCTTTAAAAACACTATTTTTATCCAGGTTTTGAGGCCTCACCAGCCCTTTAAAGTTGCGACTCCGACAAGATTGAGGAAGTTCACCCACCCGGAGGGGATGAGTGTCATAAATTGGGGAATAGCGGGAGAGAGTGACGGGGGGATTGAGTGTTCGACGGAAAAGAAAAAGGGGAAACCCCGGGCTGCCTATTGGCTTGTTGTTGCTTATTACAACGCGACCTTCCTCTGGACAGCCCTTCCCTACCCTCTTCGCCCATTCCAAATGCCGATAGATGGCCCTTATCCACACTGTCGCATATCCCGGAAATCCTTGAATTGTATGCTTTAAATTTAATTAAATTCGTTGAATCTTGAATTGCTGAACTGCTTGAACTTGCCGGGGACCCCAAAAAATTAGGTGTATATGTTTATTGATAGCTGGCTCAAGTTAACAGAGGCTTGGCTTAGCTTGCTTAGCCTGGCATAGGCTTAGGCTTAAGCTTGGCTTGGCTTAGGCTTAGGCTTGGGCTTGGGTCTGGCTTGGGCTTGGCCTAGCTTGGCTTAGGCTTAGGCTTAGGCCTGTCTTAGGCTTTTTTGAGACGCGCAAACCAGCAGGGATCGTTCGACATTGGGATCGATGCGCCGTTAAAGAAATTAATTTCAAAATTTTACGTAATTGCAAAAGAAAAATCGAAACATTTTGGCCTGCCTTTGGCCCTTTCACGGGGGCCCGCGCGCCAGTTTATTTGGTTGGGGCGCTGACGCGGATGACAACGTCGCCAAGGATTTGGTTTCTCGACTAAAACGTTTCTGGCATTATACTTGGACGCTTTTCCATATATACTTGTGATTTTTGCAATTGCCCATGCAGGAACCAATTTATTTTCAAGGGCGGGGCATAACATGGAGATGGATTGTAGCTGTTTTTCCGCGTGTAATCCATTGCGCAATGAGTTACGGAATTTTCGGAAACGCGTCAGCCGGTTTTTTAATTTCGTAATTGATTACGGGCGCAAGTCGCGTTGCGTGTCGCGCGCGCGGAAAACTCACAATTCAATAGGCCAAAACCTAGCCATCCCTTGCCCGTCTCGTTAAAAAATAGCCGCTAACCCAAGAATGACCCCGATTTAACCCGATTACGCCCATAAATCGCTCAGGGCTTATCGAAGACGCTGATCAGCCCCTCCCCCCAGTTAAGCCAATAAATTTCGTCTTTTTGGCGGCATGCCAGCATCATTTGTTGATTCGGATTCTCGGTTTGCAGATTTCTTCTCCTGAGTCTTTTTGGCCCGTCTTTTTCTCTCTCGCTGTCTCTCTCTCTCCTTCTCTCTCTCTCTCTCTCTCTCTCTATCTCTCTCTCTCTCTCTCTCTCTCTTCCCGGGCGACAACTAATGGCCAATTTCGGGGCGTTCCCCCTTCCGGACCCCCCGTTGTCCATTCTTGGATTCTTGTGCTTTTTGCCTTCCAGCCTTGGGCCCTAGTATCTAGGTCCCAGGGGTCATTTTCCGCAAGGATCCATGCTAGCTGTCCTTTGTTAATTATTTCCCGGTAGCAAAACCCAGATTAATGACGTGTGCCATTAGCCGGACTGCTTGAATTTTTGGAACCAGCTGGTGCTGAACAACAAATAAAAAAGCAACCATTAATGTGCGTAAGATACCTGACGCATACCACACGAAATTTATCCATTTTTCTATACTTAGGGGGAGTACGACGTTCGAAAATCTCTCAACCTAGATTTTTACATCCTCAGGAACCCCTGCCAGCTGAGCCGATTGATTTGCCCATTTTGCTCAGGCAGCCGTTTTTTCCCATTCACCCGGTCGCCTAAAACACGGGTCTCAGGTTTCTCAGCTCCTTGGCTTTCCACGAAATCCTCAGCTGTTGCCATTCGCCTCAAAAAAGATCAATTTTTTCAGCCATGGGCGAATCGTCACACGACGCCAAGTTGGAAGTCAAGGTAAGGAGCGTAGCCTTAAGCGTTCTCTCAATGTCTTTCTCTCTCATTATTCTAATTCCAGGAATGCGACATGGGCGAGTCAGAGCAGTTCATCTGCACCGACATCGTGAAGACGGCACAAAAGTTGTATGAGTTGGACAAGGTAAGTGGGAGATAGCAAGAGAGAGAGAGAGAGAGAAAGGGCGAGATAGAGCGAGAGAGACTCAATCTCCTCAAAATTTGAATTCCAGGACGTGGCCGCATTTTGCAAAGAGGAGCTGGACAAGCGGTTCGGGCCCACCTGGCACGTCATCGTGTACGTTACTTTCCTAGCGACGGCTTGTGCTCAGAAAGTTGCCCAAGTTTCCGTGGTTGCAAATTAGATTTCAAAATAATTTCTTAGCCCCTAATTTGATTTCCGGGGAGGTTCAGAAATTGGTTGGGGCTGAGAAATGGGCTTTTGTTAGGCTTAGGCTTAGGCTTAGGCTTAGGCTTAGGCTTAGGCTTAGGCTTAGGCTTAGGCTTGGGCTTCTTGGGCTTAGAAGCTTAAAAACTAGACCTCAAGCATAGCTTTTAGTGGGAAAAGCTTCGGCTCTCGTGTCAGCTACGAGATGAACAACTTCCTGCTCGTCAAGTGCAACCGGGTCAACGTCATGTTATTCAAATGTGGCTATTAAAATGAGGCCCAATTCCTAAAATTTTCCTACCGTATTCTATCTCATTTTCATTGTATTTTTCGATCAAAAAATCCAAAACGTTTTACACACCTACATTTTGTTTCC